ATTCTTCATCCACCACTCCGACAGGTTTGGAACAATGCTGTCGTAATGTCCACTCCTGCGAGCTTCTCGTTCGGCGATTCGTTTCGCCTCAATCTCATCAGCCATGCGTTGCGCTTCATTGTCGTCGGTAACACGCTTCTCTTCAGTTTGGGTTTCAGACACCATCTTGGAATCGATGGGATCCCTGTCTTTAGGCTGTTGTAGGTCAATTTCCACTCGTTTCTTGACGGACTTTTTAGCCACAGAGGTCGTTTTCATCTTAGACACGCCCGACTTTTTTGTCATCGCCGAGGATGCCTTCGCGTTGATAGATTTGCCCATGGTGCGCCGGTGTTGAATGGTTGGCTTGGTGATAAATTCGAAGTTTTCTACGTAAATTCAGTACTAGCGCTACGCGAGGCAGACTGGTTGGTTCTGCCGGAACGCGTGTTGTTTCGTTTCTGAAATAATTTTTTCTATGGGACATCTTGTATTATTCCCTACTGCATTGTACACAACGTCGATATTCCACTTGTATAGGGTCTTTCCCTTTTTGTGTGGATACAGATTGTCTGGCAGACTTGCGTCGAATCCCGACATCATGATCAAAGTTCGATTGCACATGTCGAAAACTTCGTACTTGAATAGTTTCTTTTGGAACGTAAAAACTGATATTTCGTCATATCCCAACAATCACTGCCTGGATTTCTCGAGAAAGCCACATAGAATTTCCGAAGTTTCCAAATACCATACACTGGATGTTGCAGGCTGCTCCAATGAGGCCACTGAGCTGCTTAATTTCTCTGTACTTGATTGCACATTCAGAGTTCCACGATCTAAAGACTGCTTTGATACATGGATTTCCAGGAAATACTGTACCTTGCCGCTCTCCTTGAAGCAAGAGCAACGTACAGTACATTATTATGTTTGTCGCTTGTTTACGTGCAACAGACGGACGTAACAGGCGAACTATGCATAGATGCAAGAGTATAGATAGACGATTGTGAGTTTCAGGCATATAGGTTTGAATGAAAGCGTTAGGAACATCCATTGTCATTATATTTCTACCTTTGTGTGCATCAATAACACAGGTAGTGGTGATTGCTTCTTGCAAAGCAGTTGAACTTGCAGTGTCCTCTCGCGATAACCATTCACGAGTTCCATTGCCTCGGAGTACCAGGCGACCTTTAATTGTCTTTTCGAATTGCTTTTCCGCGAGTAACAGACGCGGTCATGTCTTTCACAAATTCGGGAGTAAAACAATCTCTCAGGAGCATTTGTCTCAATTCCTTATCCACAGCATCTTTTCCATTGTCACCAAACTTCTTCAGTCCTTGATTGATGTAATA